CCGTGTCTGCCCGCCGGGCGGTGCAGGGCCGCACTCCCAGCTCCCGCGGCCCCATGAAGTCTCTAAAGAAGGAATCCCGCCTCCGACTACCTGCTAGCAGATTCGTGGAGGCTGCAGAGTCCATCAAAGGTTGGCGCCGGCTGCCTTGGGCGCTCAGGAGAACCTACAGGGGCAGGGGTTCTTGGGATGACGTTCAGGACCCGAGGCTAGGAGGATTACCCAGGATGGGTAATGGGGTAGGGGACACAGGAACCTTAGGGATGATGGACAAGGCCGAGACTCCCGAAAGGAGGGGGCACAGCTGGGCCTTGGGGATGGTAACCTGGAAGTGACGGATTGCCAGGGCCTTGGGGGATCCTGTTGGAGAGCTGGCCCTGAGCAGGAAGCCACGGGAGACCTCTGCCTCTAGCCTGTCTCAGCTGGCACGCAGAGTGGGGATCCTTGGACTGGGTAAGGTGTGGAAGAGCCAGGAGAGCCTAAGGCTAGAGGGACCAGGAAGCGGCCTTGGGAAGAGGAATTCAGGAAAGAATGCCAGAAATACATGGGAGTGGCCAAACCAGCTGCCTTGACCAGGTTCTTTAGGGAGTGTCACCTATGAGTCCTACTGGAAAAACCCAGAAGAAATGCCTTCCTGGGCTATTCCTGTTTCTGGCAACCTTTTCCTACCACGTGCCCTTGGCAGCTGGATGACACTTGTTCAGTTTGTTTAAGGGGGAAGGAGTCCCTAGGCCGGACTGCTTCCCGGCCTCTGCAGCTCCCGTCTGGTTGCGAATGGGAAGCCAGGGGGTGTCCGAGGGCAGACCGACCCTCATGGGCATGCTCCTTTTGCATCCCACCCTCTCTTCAGTCTTTTTTGAAGTCCTGCTTTGTGTGAGTACTCTGTTAGCAGCTAGGATCTCAATGTTAACCACGTGACCCCCAACCCTCAGGAAACTCAGTCTAGTGAGTGCTCAGAGGAGTAACCCTTCAAATGTGGACATCGGAGGAAACTTCAGAAAGTTTGCAGAAAAACAGAATTAAAGTACGAGTTTATTTTGGTGCGAAATATTTGAAATCCACGCACAGTTTTTTCATCATACACGTTGTCTATGAACTTTCTGAAGACTCCGTGTATAACTAGTGTAGTATAAGCACCTGATCAGGCCACGTGACCCAGGCCTTGGAGAATAGTGTTAGGTGGGAAATCTTCTAAGAAGGTCACATCTATGACAGACCCCACCTGCTTTCCCCCACCCCACAGAAAAAGAGGAGGAATTTGCTTTTCCAGGTCTTGGGAGTTGCATGAGTTTATGGAGTGTGAATGTGGGAGCCAGTGGGGGCTGCACCAGTGGGCAGAGGCTGGATCATGAAAGGGCTTGACAGGCTAGGTCAGAAAGTCTGAGTGTCTCCACTGTTCCTGGGGAGACCTAGCTCAGGTCCCCATGGAGGCTCAGTGTGAGGAGCTCAGTATGAGGGGACAAAACTGGAGCCGCTAGGGTCCCCTGGGAGGCGAGCTTCATCTCTTTCCAGTACACCTTTCATTCGTACTCTTTATAGTATAAAAGTTCAATGCTATTTCATGGCATACTTTCATTTTTTAAGAAATATTTATTTTTATTTATTATTATTTTATTTAACTTTATTTATTTTAATTGTACCAGAGAGGGACAGAGTGAGAGAGACAGAAAATGAGAAAGCAGGCTGCCAAGTCCGGGACTCGAACCGTGGTCAACCATGTCAGAGTCCAGTGCCCCTAGCCATCATGCCATCTGCTTGCCCCTTATTATTATTATTATTTTAAAATTTGATCAGAGAGAGAGAAGAGGAAGAAAGTAAGAAAGCAAGCCACCAGTTCCTGGTCTTGAACTGCAGTCGGCCATGTGAGAGTCCAGCACCTTAGTCATTACAACACCTGCTGGCCCCCTCATGACATACTTGCCAATAGTTAAGAGAGAGAAGCTGGTTCCCTTTCCCAAAGGCAGTAAAGGGCTTTCCCAGCTACTGCCTCCTGCTCACCTAGTTTCTGAGAGATACCAGATTGAACTTGTGCTGTAAACAAATCCAGGAAAGGTCTTTCTCTGCATATTTATTTTTAATGAGGCAAAAATTGAGTTCGTTAAATATCCCTGGAGTTAAGATCGTGCACCAGAGTGAGAGGGAAAAAAACAGTGTTTAGCATGAAAAATAACCTTTCTTTTCCTTAAATGTCCTAGGGAAGCCACTAATGTAGTAAAACAACAATCCCTGCTCGGCCCACCCTGCCTTCCAACACAGTGCAGCTAATCAACACACCGAGTCTGGTCACTGCCTTCCAACACAGGGCCGCTAATCCACACACTGAGTCTGGTCATCGTGTGCTGTTTCTCAAGGGTCTCTGAGTCACAGCAAAAGGCCAAGCACATGCAGTAACTGCAAAGCTGTTTAGGGACCTGTGAGCCCAGATCCCCCTTCACAACCAATGAAAGTCTATCTTGAGAGGGGACAGTCCTCTTGGTCCTTTCAGGGCAACTCTGAGAGGGTAAAGGCTTTCATAAACACTAAGGAAGACTAACATTTACATAAAAACAAGATGCAGAATGGGAGGCCATAGCTCCCTCCATAGCTCCACCTCTCCTCTCAGCTCACGTCAGCCCACCTGGGTACCTGATTCCAGCAGGCTTCCTTCCAGTGCCACTGGGCTGCCCTTCAAGGGGGCACTCTCCTTGACCCCCTCAGCTATGAGGATCGAGGGAGAAACACCAGCTTGGGCTCATGAGGCGCCCCACTCAGCTTGGGTTTCCAGGAAGGAGAAGAGGAAGAACAGGAAGGAGATAGCCCTACACGTTCAGTAGTCAGACACTCTCAGGACCCTCTTGCAGGTCCTGAGACAACCCCCCATTTGCGGGCTCATTTCTCCTTCCTGGTCTCCCCATCTTGCGTCTGCCTCCCCAGTCCCTCTGGCTCCCCCTCAATGCGTGATGAATCTTTCTACTCTCAACAACTCACTCTTCTGGACCCAAGAAGATGTCTGAGCCATACTTCACAAAGCCACCTGCCCTGGTTTCCCTGTCATCCCCAACATTGACTGCCACCTCCCAGCAAGCCTCGTGTGTCACCATGCCACACACAGGCCGTGCTCAGCTCTGCCTCCGGTTCTGCTCGGCTGTGACCTCACCTGGAGCAGCTCTGTCTGCTGCTCCACCTGTGCAAAGCCTTCCTCTCCTCCAGGGCCTGCGTAGCCTGGGAAGCTGCCACTACAGCTGCTCCTTAGAGCCTCACTGTGTGGCCCGTGCTGACCCGTCCCTTCTTTGCTGTGTAACCACACCTCTTGCCTCTGCCACTACCCTAGGCATTTAACATTGTGGATTGGGCGTGTCAGGGTCGCACATTTTCCAGTTCCTCAAGAGGAGGAGCCATACCTTAACCTTTATGCCATCCTCCGTAGTTTATAGCGTGTAGAAGCTGCTTGGTAAATATTGTTCTGGATGGATGTAACTTTCAGACATAGATATTACATTAATGAATATTTCATTAACTAACTCACGCCATCTTCTGATTGTATCTAGCAAGAGGACATTTATTGTCCTGGACCAGCCTAGGGTGTGGTGGTTAAGGTAACTGGATCCCCCATGGCTGACTGCACAGTTCAAGTCCTAGACCTGGTGGCCTGAAAATCACACCTGGCATCTGTGTGTATGTGCCCAATATTCTGAAACGAAAGAGAAATGGAGAAGAAGGGATTGCAGCGTGACCATTCCCCATGGACAGGTGCACACATTCTCTGGGGAAAAAAAAAATAAAAAAAAAAGAATATTTATTGATTTATTGTACTATTTTCTTAGTGGACCAGTCAATGGCCTAGTGATTAAAGGGGCCAGATCTCACATGGCCATCCATCCAACACAGTTCAAGTCCTGGACCTGGTGGCTTGAGAAACATGCCATGTGAATGTGCGTGTGTGCCCAAAAATCCTGAAAGGAGGGAAAGATGGAGAAGGGATTGCAGTGTGACCGTTCTCCATGGGGGTGCTTTCTCCTCTCCTTTCTGTGTCTCTCTCTGGCCAGCTCATGTGCCTTCTGGCAAATAAAAAAGAAAGAAAGGAAAGAAGGGACCAGCAGGTGGTGTAGGGGTTAAAGTGCTGGACTCCACATGGCCAACTGTGGTTTGAGTCCCAGATCCAGTGGCTTGAAAAACACGCCAGGTGCATGTGTGTGCATGCCCCAAATCCTAAGGGAATGGAGGAGAAGAGATTGCAGTGTGGCCATCCCCCCCTGGGGGATAATTTCTCACTTCCCCTCTCACTGTCTCTCTGTCTCTCTGTGGTGAGTATACATGTCCTATGGCAAAAAGCTTAAAAGAAAGAAAGAAGAAATGATAGCTTTCTCAGAAAAACTGCAGCGAGTTTCATTTACTGCTTCAATTTCAACCAAAACGTGAAACATTAGCTTCTCAATCTCTGCAAGCAATAAGAGCTTAAGCCTCCAGAACTCTTCAACAGTACTGAGGGTTTATGTTTACATGTGGTAATTATACACCCACCAGTAAAAAACACATCTGGAGATGTGTGATCCCTTGGGAAGATGTAGCCTCAGCTAAGGAGATGGATAGAAGCAAATGTTCTGGAAAATAGACATGCTACCAAAACATTTATCACAGCAGACTTCTAACTGGTACTAGTTCTCTCAGGGGCGGCCGCCGGCCTTGGAGAGTACGGACAGAAGAGAGTGAGGAAGGAGGAGCCGTGCCCCAAGGGTAATGAATATTTCATTAACTAACTCACGCCATCTTCTGATTGTATCTAGCAAGAGGACATTTATTGTCCTGGACCAGCCTAGGGTGTGGTGGTTAAGGTAACTGGATCCCCCATGGCTGACTGCACAGTTCAAGTCCTAGACCTGGTGGCCTGAAAATCACACCTGGCATCTGTGTGTATGTGCCCAATATTCTGAAACGAAAGAGAAATGGAGAAGAAGGGATTGCAGCGTGACCATTCCCCATGGACAGGTGCACACATTCTCTGGGGAAAAAAAAAATAAAAAAAAAAGAATATTTATTGATTTATTGTACTATTTTCTTAGTGGACCAGTCAATGGCCTAGTGATTAAAGGGGCCAGATCTCACATGGCCATCCATCCAACACAGTTCAAGTCCTGGACCTGGTGGCTTGAGAAACATGCCATGTGAATGTGCGTGTGTGCCCAAAAATCCTGAAAGGAGGGAAAGATGGAGAAGGGATTGCAGTGTGACCGTTCTCCATGGGGGTGCTTTCTCCTCTCCTTTCTGTGTCTCTCTCTGGCCAGCTCATGTGCCTTCTGGCAAATAAAAAAGAAAGAAAGGAAAGAAGGGACCAGCAGGTGGTGTAGGGGTTAAAGTGCTGGTCTCCACATGGCCAACTGTGGTTTGAGTCCCAGATCCAGTGGCTTGAAAAACACGCCAGGTGCATGTGTGTGCATGCCCCCAATCCTAAGGGACTGGAGGAGAAGAGATTGCAGTGTGGCCATCCCCCCCTGGGGGATAATTTCTCACTTCCCCTCTCACTGTCTCTCTGTCTCTCTGTGGTGAGTATACATGTCCTATGGCAAAAAGCTTAAAAGAAAGAAAGAAGAAATGATAGCTTTCTCAGAAAAACTGCAGCGAGTTTCATTTACTGCTTCAATTTCAACCAAAACGTGAAACATTAGCTTCTCAATCTCTGCAAGCAATAAGAGCTTAAGCCTCCAGAACTCTTCAACAGTACTGAGGGTTTATGTTTACATGTGGTAATTATACACCCACCAGTAAAAAACACATCTGGAGATGTGTGATCCCTTGGGAAGATGTAGCCTCAGCTAAGGAGATGGATAGAAGCAAATGTTCTGGAAAATAGACATGCTACCAAAACATTTATCACAGCAGACTTCTAACTGGTACTAGTTCTCTCAGGGGCGGCCGCCGGCCTTGGAGAGTACGGACAGAAGAGAGTGAGGAAGTAGGAGCCGTGCCCCAAGGCTGATCTGGCCCTGTGGCCGAGTGGTTAAGAAGCGGATCTCACATGGCCAACCATGCTGTGTGAGTCCTGGCCTTGGCAGCTTGTAAAACACACCGGGTACCATGTGTGTGCTGCCCCAAATCCCGACAGGGTAGAGAAGGTGTTACAGTGTGACCATGCCCCTGCGGCTGCGTTCTCCCTCTCCCTCCCCTCTCTCTATGTCTCTCTTTTGTGAGTGCAGGCACCCTCTAGAAAATTAAGGGAAAAAAATTTAAAAACAAAGTTGCATCTCCTCATGGGGCAGCTGCTCATCCTGCCTTACGTGTTCCTGTGTGCAGAACCCTGTGTTTAACAGACAGGTGCTCCGACCTTCTGCCGACCCCACTGGCCCGTGGCGGACAGACCGAATTTAGACTTACATTTTGGAATGAGTCTGGCTTTTGTTTTTTGTTTCGTTTGCCACAAACTATATGAACATTTCCTTTAAAAGAGAGTTTGATGGGCCAGCCAGCAATGTGGTCATCTCCACCCCTGTGTTTCTCTCTGGCAAGTGTATGTGCCTTATGGGAAATTAAAAAAAAAAAAAAAATCGAGGACCGGCCAGGTAACGTGGTGGTTAAGATGACTGAATCCCACATGGCTAACCCTATGGTTTGAATCCTGACCCAGCAACTTGAAAAACACCAGGTGTGCATGCGTGCCCAAAATCCTGGGAGGAGGATGGAAAAGAAGGGACTGTGGCATGGCCATCCTTCCTGGGGATGCGTTCTCACTCGCCGCAAACCCCTCCCCCCATCTCTCTCTAGCAAGCATATGTGCCCTGTAGAAAATCTGAAAGAAAAAAAATAATAAAGGTTTGATTTTGTTAGCCAAAACACCTGCCCTGGTATTTTGGTGACATTGCCTCTTAAAGATCGGGATACTTGGGAGAACCGGATTTTGTCCTACCTGCCCTGAGGGCAGTACTTGGGAGCTCTTTCGATTGTTTTGTACAAGGCCTTACCTCTAACCATGCTGCACTGGAGGGAAAAAGGAAGGAAAACAGCCAGAGAAGCACAGCCAGAGAAACGCTGTGCATCTGAAGCTGTTAGCCACCCTCCGTCCGTGGAAGGAAGGCCGAGTGTGTGTCCTCATGGGACAGTCCTGCTCTTGGGCCACATGACTTGTCAGGGCCATGCTCTGGTGGCCACATGAGAGAAACAGGCTTGGCTCTCTCCGCTTTTCCCCAGCCCCACCAGCCTCTGTCACCATCGTTTCTTTATTACTGCAGAGGGCTCCTAAATAGTCTCGTTCAGTCTTGCACCCCGAGCTAGCCCTTGCCGTGCCATTGCCTGTGGGGCAATGACTGAAGTCCTCTCCACGGCTCACCAAGCTCTTCATGCCATGGTTCCAACCTCCCTCTCTGGGCCGTGCCTCTTGCTGCCACCTCACTGCACTCCAGCTATTTGGAAACGAGCTTTGAGTTCCAGGGCTGTGCTCCATTCTCTCCCACCTCCAGGCCTCTTGGTGATGTTCCCTTTGGAATGGCTGTTTCCCCGGTGTCCTTCCCTTCTTCACTTCTCTGCTTCCTTCAGCTCTCAGTTTAAATATGACCCCCTTAGGAGGCCCTCCCTGACCACCCCACAGAATGGGCTGGGCCCCCTGGATGCTCCCATAGTAACCCTAACTGCCAGACCGTCAAACCAACAGACTTGTCTCCCACTGGGGGAGGTTTTTGCCATAGGGCACGTGTGCTTGCCAGAAAGACACAGAGAGATAGAGAGAAAGAAAGTGAGAAATTGGCCCCCAGGAGGGATGGTCACGCCACAATCCCTTCTCCTCCATTCTCCTCTCGGGATCTTGAGCAGGCACACACACGCACCCGGTGTGAGTTTAAGCCACTGGGTCTGGGACTCAAACCTCGGTCGACTACATGGGAGTTCAGCGACATAGCCATTACACCAACTGCTGGTCCTGAGTTCAAGTACTTAAAATGTTCTGTTTCTCTTCAGAAAGGAAGCGGGCAAAAATAGCGGAACAGATCACACCTCCCATCCAGGAGGAGCCTGAGCCTGTCAGCAATGTCCTACAAGGAGAGGACATTCTTGCCTTGGCCATTAAGAAGGAAGACTTGAGGAAGGTAAGGGTGACGCCCAGGGTTTCCTGACCACGGGGGCTATTCCCTGCCAGCCAGCGTGGTCTAGAACACTAGCCATCTCTCCACTGACTTCCTGCATAGGCAGCATCTAATCCCATGGAAATATTCATAGAGCCTAAATCCTTTTCACGTTAGCAATTTACTATGTCTTTTGTGTTAACATTTCTGAAATTCCTAAGGAATGATATGGGGGCCAGCAGGTGTCATAGTGGTCAAGGCACTGAACTCCCACATGGTTGACCACAGTTCGAGTCCTGGACCTGATGGCTTGAAACTCACACCAGGCACATATGCATGCATGCCCACAATCCCAAAAGGAGACTGGAAGAGACAGGATTGTGGTATGGCCGAGGACCGGCCAGGTAACGTGGTGGTTAAGATGACTGAATCCCACATGGCTAACCCTATGGTTTGAATCCTGACCCAGCAACTTGAAAAACACCAGGTGTGCATGCGTGCCCAAAATCCTGGGAGGAGGATGGAAAAGAAGGGACTGTGGCATGGCCATCCTTCCTGGGGATGCGTTCTCACTCGCCGCAAACCCCTCCCCCCATCTCTCTCTAGCAAGCATATGTGCCCTGTAGAAAATCTGAAAGAAAAAAAATAATAAAGGTTTGATTTTGTTAGCCAAAACACCTGCCCTGGTATTTTGGTGACATTGCCTCTTAAAGATCGGGATACTTGGGAGAACCGGATTTTGTCCTACCTGCCCTGAGGGCAGTACTTGGGAGCTCTTTCGATTGTTTTGTACAAGGCCTTACCTCTAACCATGCTGCACTGGAGGGAAAAAGGAAGGAAAACAGCCAGAGAAGCACAGCCAGAGAAACGCTGTGCATCTGAAGCTGTTAGCCACCCTCCGTCCGTGGAAGGAAGGCCGAGTGTGTGTCCTCATGGGACAGTCCTGCTCTTGGGCCACATGACTTGTCAGGGCCATGCTCTGGTGGCCACATGAGAGAAACAGGCTTGGCTCTCTCCGCTTTTCCCCAGCCCCACCAGCCTCTGTCACCATCGTTTCTTTATTACTGCAGAGGGCTCCTAAATAGTCTCGTTCAGTCTTGCACCCCGAGCTAGCCCTTGCCGTGCCATTGCCTGTGGGGCAATGACTGAAGTCCTCTCCACGGCTCACCAAGCTCTTCATGCCATGGTTCCAACCTCCCTCTCTGGGCCGTGCCTCTTGCTGCCACCTCACTGCACTCCAGCTATTTGGAAACGAGCTTTGAGTTCCAGGGCTGTGCTCCATTCTCTCCCACCTCCAGGCCTCTTGGTGATGTTCCCTTTGGAATGGCTGTTTCCCCGGTGTCCTTCCCTTCTTCACTTCTCTGCTTCCTTCAGCTCTCAGTTTAAATATGACCCCCTTAGGAGGCCCTCCCTGACCACCCCACAGAATGGGCTGGGCCCCCTGGATGCTCCCATAGTAACCCTAACTGCCAGACCGTCAAACCAACAGACTTGTCTCCCACTGGGGGAGGTTTTTGCCATAGGGCACGTGTGCTTGCCAGAAAGACACAGAGAGATAGAGAGAAAGAAAGAGAATGGTGATGCTGCAATCCCTTTCTCCTCCATTCTCCTCTTGGGATCTTGAGCATGCACACACACGCACCCGGTGTGAGTTTAAGCCACTGGGTCTGGGACTCAAACCTCGGTCGACTACATGGGAGTTCAGCGACATAGCCATTACACCAACTGCTGGTCCTGAGTTCAAGTACTTAAAATGTTCTGTTTCTCTTCAGAAAGGAAGCGGGCAAAAATAGCGGAACAGATCACACCTCCCATCCAGGAGGAGCCTGAGCCTGTCAGCAATGTCCTACAAGGAGAGGACATTCTTGCCTTGGCCATTAAGAAGGAAGACTTGAGGAAGGTAAGGGTGACGCCCAGGGTTTCCTGACCACGGGGGCTATTCCCTGCCAGCCAGCGTGGTCTAGAACACTAGCCATCTCTCCACTGACTTCCTGCATAGGCAGCATCTAATCCCATGGAAATATTCATAGAGCCTAAATCCTTTTCACGTTAGCAATTTACTATGTCTTTTGTGTTAACATTTCTGAAATTCCTAAGGAATGATATGGGGGCCAGCAGGTGTCATAGTGGTCAAGGCACTGAACTCCCACATGGTTGACCACAGTTCGAGTCCTGGACCTGATGGCTTGAAACTCACACCAGGCACATATGCATGCATGCCCACAATCCCAAAAGGAGACTGGAAGAGACAGGATTGTGGTATGGCCATCCCCCCAGGGGATGATTTCTCGCTTTCTCTCTTTCTGTCTCTCTCTGGCCAGTACACACACCTTATAGCAAAAATCTCCCAATCGATAAATAAAATAAGGAATGACAGGAAAAATGAGGTACCAAGGCAACCTGCTTCCATAGAGGCAGGACCTGTGATCCCCATTATGGAGAAGGGAGCATGAGGCCAAACAGCAAAGTCACAGATACAGACAAAGCTGCTGACCCTAACCCGGTGCTTTCTGTACTTACTTCATTGCCTGAGGTTGTGTGTGCTCGCCAGAGAGAGACAAAGAGACAGAGAGGCAGGGGGAGAAAGCACCCCTCCAAGTGGGGTGCGGTCATGCATCAATTCCTTCTCCTCCGTTTCTCCATCCTGTCAGGATTTGGGGTACACATACATACACACCTAGGCTGCTGAGGCCAAGATTGGAACCACTGTGGACTGTGTGGGATCCAGCTCCCTTAACCATTAGGTTACGGGGCCAGCCCCTGAGCCTGTGCTTTATCTGGAAGAGTCAACTGCTTCTCACCTGAACTGTCTGGAGGCATGAGATGTTATTTTTTCCCCTCCAGGACTATCCTCAGTCTCGCAGCTGTTACCCAGGTGTTTCCTCCACAGAACATATGGACCGAGCCAGAGCGACAATTTGTCAGCCTTCAGGAATTCCACCAAGAACTGGGACGGAGGAGACAGGTGCTGCTGTTTCTCCTCCCGGCCTCGGGTGAAGTCCTCCCCGTTGTGTTTCCTTTCAGCAACACCTTCCTCGCCTTACTGACAAGAAAGAAAAACCTGCCATTACCCAGAAATTTATCATCCGCAAATTCAAGCCCAAGGATCCTAGGAAGAAGGTCTGCCACTTGGTAGCACACCCTGCTAATCCAGATGCAGCCACAAAGCCCCTGGACTACTCTGGTATGTTCTGTCTCGGCCCTGGCCGTGCCCATGATGGTCTTTGAATCCTTGGGTCAGCTTGAAAGAAAGTAGGGTCTCCATCAGAGAGAGACCCCCTGAAACAGTTGACATCAGCTGCCTACAACTTGTTTTTTTCCTTCCCTCTTTTTCCCGCCCAAAGTTTATATGTTTTTTGAGAGAGAGAAAGAGACGTGGATCCCCAAGAGGGTCTTGCTGTACTGCAGCCCTCCCCCCAGCCTTCCAGCCAGCCAGGGCACTCCCACAGGTACACTCAAGAGGCTCAGGTTGCCCTGGGATTCAAACCCAGGCCCTCCCACGTGGTTCCAGCATCACACCCCACTACCTGTGCCACTGTGGCTGGGCCTCCTCTTCCTTCTTTTCCCCTCCCTAGGCCCAGGTGACAGCTTCGGTGACAGTGACCAGATCCTAGCCCACCACATTTTGGGGAGCCTCCAGGACTTTAAGAGAATTGCGGTTGCTCGGGGCAACATCCAGGTTGGTTTGCACAGAGCTGCAGGGATTAGAGAGGGCACCAGAGTCGCCTCAGTCTCCCACCTGGCAGAGTTGCACAGGACCGGGGTTAGAGAGAGCAGTCCAGTCTCTGGGCCTGGAGTCTGAGATAACGAATAATCCTCCCCCAGAAGTAGTTGGGGACATGAGCTGCAGGTCACAGAAGCCAGTCCAAGCTGGTGTCAGCTGAAGTTGAAGGTTTACTCTAAGGATATAGAGGTTACCTCGTGGAAGCCAAAGACAGCAGCATTGCTAGGTCCAGGTAGACTGAACCCAGAAAGGCCTCAGGACCAGGGCCCAGGCTCCTCATGGCCCTGCTGCTCTGTGCGCTGGCTTCAATGGCCTGCTGTCCTCAGTCCACACAGCTGAGGAAGGCGGCATCCCGCTGCTCCCTGGGCCACCTTCCCATCATACTGTGCTCTGTCCAGGCAAAGACTCTGCTTGGCCAGGTGCTAAGGGGCCTGGGGTCACGTAAAAACGGCTCAGTCACCCTGGGTGAAGGTGTCAAGTAGCATCCAACGTGAGGACAGATGCGCTAAACGATAACCATAATTTTAGAACAGAATTCTCCTTTCTGGGGAAAAGTGGGCTGGCAGCTGCTTGCAGGGCCTCCTGAATCTGTAACTCGTTTTCTGTCACTCACCACCCCGGGGTCCCAAAAGGAGGGACTCTCATCAGAGTAGGTTCTAGGCCTCTGCCAGTCTCTGCTCAGTGTGGAGCTTGTCGCCACGTCATCCTTTCCAGCTGGCTGAGCTGATTCGCACCCCACCCTCTCTGATGACCCTCATCTCTGCTAAAGAGGAGTCCAAGCCAAGAGCCCCAAAGGAAGAGAAGAGACCGCCCTGGGCCCCACCACTGCAGCATAACTTTCTGAAGAACTGGCAGCGGAACATGGCCCTGCGGAAGCAGCAGCAGGAAGCCCTCAGCGGTGAGGGAGGGGCCGGGCTCCTGCCTGGCCTCCATCTGGCACTGAGGCTGGCTCTGCTCTGCCTTTTCCTCTCCCTCCACCTGCCCAGAGCAGGGCTCGCGCTCACTGCATTGTGCCGTTCACTCCCACGAGCTGCTCCTGCTAGCTCTTGGCCTTGGTGGGTCCTGAAGGCAGCTGAGGGACAGGGCCATCAGTCCTGACTTGCCGGCCCCCCCACCCCAGAACACCTGAAGAAGCCGGTGGGCGAGCTGCTGATGCACAGCGGGGAGACCTACAGACGGATCCAGGAGGAGCGAGAGCTCCTCAGCCGAGCCCTTTCCACACAGCCGGACAACAAAGTGAGAGCCATCCCCAGAGCCCGTGGGGTGGGGCCTCTGCACATGGGATGGCTCATCTCAGGTTAGGGGAGAAATAAACCTGTCCTTTGCAAAGCATTGGGAAGCCCTCGAGACTGTCGCAAAATCATATTATTGGCCTGTTATTGGGTGTTTGCGGACTGGTCAGTTAAGTCATTCAGCCACTAGTCGTTAGCTGCGGGAGATATCAGACTCTGAGTTACTAGAACAGTCGTACTGCTCGTGTCCTCAGAGCTTCGGCTCCAGCTTTCAGGTGACCCGAGGCCCCACGTCCTGATATGTCACTCCAATCCAGCACCAACCCACGTCTTTCTGGGGGCAGGTGAAGGCAACTACAGGCATCCTGAAACGAGACAGTGGGTGCTTCTCTTCCACTGTCTGGGCCCAGAAGGAGCGTCTGTACCCCGTGCTGCTCTTGTCATCCCAGGTCCCCATGAGCATGTGGCTCAGGTCTCCAGGGGACCTGACTCAGTTGTCCTTCCTTGCCAGGGCTCTCAGGAGAACTGCGGGTTCTGGAGTCAACTGGAATGCCTGGGAGATGAGATGATGGGGCTGGTCATGACCAAGACCAAAACCCAGCGTGGCCTCGTGGAGCCGGTCACGCACGTCAGGAAGCCCCACTTCATCCGGGTGGAGACTGGTGAGGACCAGGGCTGAGCATGGTGGTGAGCCACACGGCTCTGCTCCGAGTCAGACCCGAGCCCAGGTCCTGGGTCAGCAAGATGTTAGGCAAGTCCCAGAACCCTCCTGAGGTCCAGTCCCTTTTCGGTGAGACTGAGAGAAACAGTGGGAAAGGCAGGGCAGGAGCTGGCCACCAGCCGCACTGTCCAGTGGGGCAGCCTGGGGCCACGTGCAGCTGTGGAGCATCTGGAGTGTGGCTGGCCTGCACCAAACGGGCCGCAGTGTGAACTGCACACTGGGTTGTGGAGATAGTACAAAACACATATTTTATTATTAATTTTCGTATTGAGCGCATGTTGAAACGATAATATTTGTGATATATTGGGTTAAATCAACTAGAGTACTAAGATGAATCCCAACCAAGGGCCCACCAGGTGGCATGGTGGTTAAGGGTGCTGTATTCCCACATGGCTGGCTGCAGTTCAAGTCCTGGACCCAGCAGCTTGTTTTCTCGCTTTCCCTTTTGCTCTGTCTCTGTCTCTTCCTGGTCAAGTTAAACAAAAAGTAGTAACAACAAATGGAATTAAATAAATAAATAATTACATTTAAAAAATGAATCCTACCAGTTTCTTTATACATTTTGTTTTTAATTTGTCAGAGGGTGTCTGTACTCCCGAGAGAGAGAGAGAGAGAGAGAGAGAGAGAGAGAGAGAGAGAAATGGATAGAGGGCAAGTGAGAAAGCATCCCCATGGGGAATGGTCAGGCCACAATCCCTTCCCCTCCACTTCTCCTTCCTACAGGGTTTTGGGCATGCATGCATACTCACCCAGCATGTTTGTCAAGCTGCCAGGTCCAGGACTTGAACTGCACAGTCAATGTAATCCAGCAGCCTTAACCAGACCACAGGTTGGTATGGTTGTTACCTTTTTTTTTTCATTTTAAATAATTATTTTATTTAATGTTATTCATCATTTTTTAAAAAGAATTATTTTACCTAACTTTATTTATTTATTTTAGTTTGATGAGAGAGAGAGAAAATGAGAAAGCAAGCTGCCAGGTCAGCTGACTCAAATCACAGTCAGCCATATGGGAATCCAGCATCTTAGCCACCCTGCCACCTGCTGCCCCTCTTTCTACCTTTTACAACATGGCACCTAGCACATTCTCAATGGCATGTGCTTTGTATGTGTGGATTGCATTAGACTTCTTCCAGAGAGCACTGCTTTAAAGCCTACCGGACTGCTGGGCTTGGGTCCCAGCAGGACCAGGTCTGTGCATCCCAGCCAGTTCTTTCACCCCTCTTGCCCTTGGTTTCCCCATCTGTCAACTACTGAAATGAACCACAGCATATTAATTAAGTCCACGGACCAGGAGGTGGTGCAGTGGTAACATAGCTGGACCCACATGGGAAAGGCCCTGTGTTGGACCAGGCTGACTGGGCTGGGGTGGGGGGGGGTTTGTGGTGTGATGACCTTGTTGAGATGTCTTTCTCTCTGAAGAAATGAATAAACTTAAAGCAATTTATATATATATATATATATATATAGCAATTTATATTTATATATATAAAAAGAGTTTCTGGCCCATCGTTAAGTACTAAATAAGAGGTAGCTGTGGGACCAGCAGATGGAAGTGTGTGTGCGTGACCAAGATCCTGAGAGGAGAAGGGAAAAGAAGGGATTGTGGTGTGGCCATCCCCCGCCCCCCAAGGGGTGATTTCTCACTTTCTGTCTCTCTGTCTGTCTTTCTGGCAAGTGCACACACCCTATAGCAAAAACCTCTCCAAAAAAAAAAAGAGGTAGCTGCTGTTGTTTGTATTAATATTAGCATCCCCAGATTTGACTATTTGGAAGCTAATTCTGCAGGAGTCCTGCGTAGGCTGCTGAGGAAGTACACAACAGGAGGACACTGGAGTCCACCTGCCATGGGGAAGCTGTATTTCTCTTCCTTCCCAGAAATGGTGTCGGAATGAGCCCTTGAGAAGTGAGGCAGTGGGGCCTGGGCACAGCAGCAGCTGTGCTGAGAGTGGATCCTGCTCTAGGATTACCAGCGCAGAAGGATGCTTGGTACCGCTACACCTGGGACCGGAGTCTGTTTCTGATCTACCGACGCAAGGAGCTGCAGAGCATCATGGCCGAGCTGGATTTTAGCCAGCAGGTTGGTGCTGCCTCCATGACCTGGTCTGGAGCCCCTGCAGGTGGTGCCTGCCTTCAAGCAGCTAATCTTGCCACTCTTGGTCTCTCTGAGGATATCGATGGCCTGGAGGTGGTGGGCAGAGGGCGACCCTTCGCGGCTGTTACAGTGCAAGACTGCATGGTGTCTGAAAAGAGTCCGGAAAGCTCCTCTGAAGACTCATCATTCTCGTGAGTCGCACCTGCACCCTAGGGAAGGAGGTTGAAGCGTGTGGCTTCTCCCACACGCACAAGTATTAGAGGGCAGGCTCGAATCAGGGTGCCTCCCCCAGCCCCTCTGCAGGGGCTGCCATCCCAGCACCTGTGCTAACTTCTCTGTGGCCATTCTCTCCTTCCTGACAAGCACTAACTCCTCCGGGGATCTGCCAGACATTCCTTTGCTGGGCAGATGGGCCTCTAGTCTTCCCCACTGCTGTGTGCAGTGAAGGGCCTGGAAGGAGATCTAGAGGAGCCCCTGTTTTCTTTTCTTTTCTTTTCTTTTCTTTTCTTTTCTTTTCTTTTCTTTTCTTTTCTTTTCTTTTCTTTTCTTTTCTTTTCTTTTCTTTTCTTTTCTTTTCTTTTCTTTTCTTTTCTTTTCTTTTCTTTTCTTTTCTTTTCTTTTCTTTTCTTTTCTTTTCTTTTCTTTTCTTTTCTTTTCTTTTCTTTTCTTTTCTTTTTTTTTCTTTTCTTTTCTTTTTTCTTTTCTTTTCTTTTCTTTTCTTTCTTTCTTTTTTATTCTTTTTTTTTTTTTTTCCAAGGGAGAGATTTATTTTTGCTATAGGATGCATGTGCTCACTGGAGAGACAGAGAAAAGTGAGAACTCACCCCTCAGGGGAATGGCCACACCACAATCCTTTCTCCATTCTCCTCCTGGGATTTTGAGCATGCACATACACGTGCCCAGCATGAGTTTCAAGCTGCTGGGTCCAGGACTTGGACTGCGGTCGGCCATGTGGGAATCCAGCACCTTAACCACTCTGCCACCTTTAGAGCCCCTGCCTAGAGGAATGGATCTGCAGGATGCTGCACCAGAGTGGAACAGCAGGGCAGAGCTGGTCAGGTCTACACTTCCTGGCAACCATCTCCATGGGTTCCGTGTGGCTGACTGTGACAGCCCCAGGGAACAAGTCATTGATTTTTCTTCCAGAAACCTATTGGCCAGTTGCCCTGAAGTGATCCCAATGCCTGTTCTTGGCCCTTCCCTGCTGTTCTGTGGGAAGCCAGCTTGCTGGATCAGAGGCAGCAACCCGCAGGACAAGGTAAAACTGCCTTCCTTCACCCCTCCTCACCTGCTGGAAGGGCCACCCTCAGTGCAACCCCAGAGTGACCACGGCAGTCACAAGGAGCCTGCACGGTCCCCTATTTGCATTTTAATCTGGTCATACGTTCAGCATGGCTGAAAATGGTTACAGCAGCACTAATTTGGGCAAGAATAAAATCACAAGACTGAAAAGAGAGTGACACAAGGCACCCCGTTTGTACTTAGCCCCTCCCTAAGCATGTAAATAAGGAAACCCTCTCAAATAGGGATGACTTCACGAAGGTTCAAGAATATTCCTCAGGCTCAGCTGCGGTGGCATGCACTGCTAAGATACCGCGCTCCCAGGCTGAGTCCACAGAGGAGGCCTGGATCAATTCCTGGCCCAAACTAAAGGCCAGGAGTGGTGGCATTAATGTCTATAATCCCATTGGCTCAGGAGGCTGACGCAGGACTGCAAGCTTGAGCTGGCTTGGACAACACAGCGAGGCCATGCTAAGGAGCGGAAATACTCTTTGGGTATAAACCCGTTTGTTACTATGGATCGTACCTGGTGACCCGAGACAGCTGCTACTGGGGCATGATGCCACTGTGAGAGTGCCTGAGCTCTGGAGGCCTGGACGTGGAATTTCAGTGCCAAATCCAGAAAAGTCCCAGGCGAACTGGGGTGAGATGGGCACCCAAGGCCGGGGCCTCCAGCAAAGACACTTCTCCTGCCTCTTCCTTCCCCAGAAGCAGGTCGGAATTGCTGTCCGCTTGACCTTTGAAACCCTGGAAGGGGAGATAACACCTTCAGAACTGACCGTGGTCAACAATGGCACAGTGGCCATCTGGTACGACTGGCGACGGCAGCCCCAGTCGGACTGTTTTGAAGACCTGAAAAGGACCAGGCTGCAGCGGTTTTACTTTAACAACCGGGAAGGTACCTGGGAGAGGCTGCCCTGCCCCACAGCTCCTGGCTGGGGCTGTCTCTGCCCTCTGGGTCTGTGAGCCACCCAAAGTCCGGTTAATGCCCAGATCCTGTATGCGTGAGCTCTGTCCCCACCTTGTTCCTGCCGAGTCTTCTGTGAGGCGTGTGATCTGACTGTTCCTGTCTGTTGAGAGAACATGGAACTTGAGAACACAGGGAGATGAGCCACTCTCAGGTAGAAATATTCTAGGGCCCCGGTTTCCCAGATGCCGTGGCTTGGGGCTGGAGTGAATAACTCCCTGTTTGCTTAGAACCTTAGTTTAAACCCCACGTCCCAGGAAACCTCTCAGTCCTGGGCAAACCAGCTGTTTGGTCCCCTGACCTGGGACTCAGATACACGCATATGCAGAGTTGAGGACTCGGTTAACTTGATACGTACAGACTTGGGGTGCAGCTAAGCTCTTTCTTGTTGAAAACCTCTGTCTCTGTCTCTCTCAGGTGTGATTCTGCCTGGAGAAACTAAAAACTTTACCTTCTTCTTCAAGTCTTTGGATCCTGGGATCTTCCGGGAATCTTGGGAGTTTGGAACCCATCCTACCTTGCTGGGAGGTGCTGTCCTGCAGGTCAACCTCCACGCGGTCTCTCTGACCCAGGATATTTTTAGAGATGAGAGGAAGTTACTGGAGGTAAGGGACCAGGGCCTTGGACCCTCTGGGCACCAGATTGGTTAGCCTAGGGTCCTTCCTGGCAGGACCTGCAGAGATCTTTTTCCTCCCAGCCTAAGTGACTTCTGCACTAACAGGTAACTTACTCTTGCTCAACCAACACTTCCTGAAGCTGTGTGATGTAACAGGGGGGTGGGCAGGCTAGGGGCAGAGCAGCCTGTAGCCCACCCATGCATAGCCCCCACCCCGAAGTTAGAAAGTAATGCAACTGAGCCTTAAGACGCAGAGGAGGAGTCCACATGGAACGCTGAGCCGTCACACCAGTGTTTCGTTCAGTGCTGCCTGGTCCTGTACAGTGGAACGGCGTTTAGCTGACAAGACTAAAACCAGAAAGGGCCACTTAGGGCAGTGAGGGGCGTGAGTCTGCCCACCATCCCACTCAGTAAGGCGGCAGGCTGGAGTGAATGTGAGGAGAGAGAACTGGGAATCCATCGTCCCCAGTCAGTTTCACAGTGTGGCCATCTTGGGCCAGGCTTCACGGGATTCTGGAAATGCTGTGCTTTTTAAATTCATTCTGGCTTTTTTATTCATTCATTCGCAAACCAGCTTCTTCAGCTGGTGCTCAGCCAGTGGTCAACAAAGTGGACAAATGTCATGTTTGCTTTACTCACTGACCATCAGTCTCACACCACATGCCCTTTGTAGGGTGTCTGTGACACTGACCATGTGGCCACGCCAGAGGAGAGTTCACTGCCATGCTCAGCAGCACCCAGCCCGTGCGCCCTGCCCCGTCTTCCTGTCTGAGGGTGTGCTAACCGGGGGACCTCCGGGTCCCACGCGGGAACAGTGCTCCTCTGGGACTGGGTCCCTGTCTGGATCCTTCTCAAACTCTTTTAGGAACAAGGATGTTTGGGGAGACCCAGAGGGTTTTTAGTACTTTTGTTTAACTTAATTTAATTTTTTTAAGACAGAGTCTTACCGTGTCATGATCCTCCTGCCTCAGCCTCCCAGCTGGGCCTCCAGGTGCACCGCCACATCTGGCTCTGAGCCTTAGAGGCTTTTGAGTCTTGGAATAGCTGTGTGGGAGCCAGCCGGTGGTGTGATGAGTAAGGTGGCTGGACCCACACGGTCAAGTGCATGGACCTGGTGACCTGAAAAAACATATTAGGCATGTGTGTATGTGTGTGTGTGCGCACTCCAAGTCCCGGAAGGAGAAATGAAGAAGGGGTTGCAGCGTGACCACCCCTCACGGGCGGGGGAGCTTTCTCACTTTCTCTTTCCCCCTCTGGCACTCTGCAGTGAGTATGTGTGTCCTCTAACTAAATTGGAAAAAAAAGAATAGGTGTGTGCGAGATGATGCATGGGCATGGTCAGGAACTTGGATACCCTAGGAGGGCACAGAGCCCCTAGGGCACTGACTCCCCTTGAGGGTGCACAGGTTTGCAGTCTGGACTGCCATCCATGCCACCCTCCCGTTCCCAGAGCAAGCTGGCTGCCCACGAGGCGGTCACCATCGTGCAGAGCGTGCTGCAGGAGCTGCTGAGGGGCATCCTGACCCCAGAGCGCACCCCGTCCCCTCTGGATGCCTACCTCACCGAGGAGGACTTGTTCTACCACAGGAATCCTCAGGTACAGGGCCAGCACTGGCCCCCGCCCTGGCATGCATGCCCTGGCTGGTGGTCATAGCAAACCCTTCTGTGCCAGGAGCTGTTCGGAGAGTCTTCCATGAGTAACTTTCCTCACAGTGGTTCTCTGAGATAGGTGCTGTGTTTGTCCTTGTTTTCCGTGGAGGAAACTGAGACCCAGGGAGCTTAAGAATTGCCCAAGGGGGACCAGCAGTTAGCGTAATGGCTATGTCACTGGACTCGCATGTAGTCAACCGTGGTTCGCGTCCCGGACCTGGTGGCTTAAAACTCACGCCAGGTGCGTGTGCGTGCATGCCCAAGATCCCAAGAGAATGGAGGAGAAGGGATTGTGGTGTGGTCATCCCTCCTGGGGGGGTGATTTCTCACTTTCTGCCTCTCTGTCTCCCTCTGTCTGTCTGGCAAGCGCACACGCCCTATAGCAAAAATCTCTCCAAAAAAAAAAAAAAAGAATTGCCCAAGGGATCAGCTGATAGCATAATGGTTACGTCCCTGAACTCCCACGTAGTCAACTGCAGTTCAAGTCCTGGACCTAGCGGCTTAAAACTCACACCGGGTGCATGTGCATACGTGCCCAAGATCCAGAGAGGAAAATGGAGAAGGAATTGCAGCATGGCCCTCCCCCCAGGGGTTGATTTCTTGCTTTCTGTCTCTCTGTCTCTCCAGCCAGCACAGGTGCCCTATAGCAAAATTCTCTTTCTAGGCGTCAGCAGGTGGTGTGGTGGTTAAAAGCGCTGGACTCCCACATGGCCAGCTGCAATTTGAGTCTTGGACCTGGCGGGTTTGTTTCTTTCTTTCTCTCTTGACTTCTCACTCTCTTCCCTCACTCTCTCTCTCTAGCAAGCCACATGTGCCTTGTAGCAAATTTATAAAATGGTTTTAACATAATACATAAAAAGTATTTAAATCGGGGCCAGCAGGTGGCCTGGTAGTTAAAGGTGCTGGGCTCCCACATGACTGACCACGGTTCAAGTTCTGGACCTGGTGGCTTGCTTTCTCACTTCTCTCTCTCTCTCTCTCTGTCTGTCTTCCTCTGTCAAATTAAAAATAAATGAATGGATGAATAAAATTTAATGAATAATTTTTTAAAAATCTCTTTAAAAAAACAAAGAGAATTGCCCAAGATGCCTTAGCTAGTAAGTGGATGCTCGGCAAGAACAGAGCTTCACAGGCACCTTCATTCAAACACAATTTTACTTGGAAGCCCCCCCCCCAAAAAAAAAACGTTTTAAATTGGGGATTCTCAGGTCAAAGAGGAAGCGAGTAGCTCGTTTGGTCACAGCCATACCTTCCACCATCCTCCCTGTCTCCCCACCAGTGCTGCCTAGGGGTCCAAGCCAGCTGGTATGGGCTCTGGGTGCCAGGTGCTCCGCGGTCTGGCTCCCCTCACACGACCCCCCCACCCCACCTCTGCTGCAGTTGCATTACCAGCACCAGGTGGTGCAGAGCCTGCACCAGCTATGGCGCCAGTGCCTGACCCTGCTGCCTAAGGCCGAGGTGACCAGGCTGGGCGAGGAGCACCTCAGCGTGGGGGCCCAGGCGGCCAGTGCAAAGAGGGCCTCGACCAACACCAAGCACAGCAAGACCCAGGCCGTGGAGCCTCAACGCCCCTGGGAGAATGAGGCCCTCAAGGCTGGAGCAAGGCCTAAGAGTCCCCAGCGGAAGAGCATCATAGAAGAGATCCTGGTGGAGGAGAGCCCCGACGTGGAGAATGCCAAGAGCCCCTTGGTGCCGGACAGCCTTCCCCCACCTGAGTGGAACCTCTGCTTGGAGGACTTCAGGAAGGTGCTTCCAAGACCCCGGAAGGATGGGCTGGTGGAAAAGAGCCCTGGCACAACCAGCTGCCAGTGCTCTAGTCCTGAACCAACCAGAGGGGCCGGGGGGCAGCAGGAGCAGAGAAACGACCTCCTGAGGGCGTAGAGAAAATGGTCTTTAGGTCATCTCTTTGTGGTGCCCAGGCTGCTAGGGTACGGGTCGGGGGCTCCCTCCCTGAGCTGACAAACTTTGGAGTAGGGGCCCATGGGTACGGTTCTCTGAGGGAGGTCCCAGCTCCCACAGAAGGCACCCCGTCAAACTCCCTGTGGATGCACCCCTTTCTAGTTCTTAGCTCTGTCACATATCTGCATGTCACCATGCCTGTCACTGGAGGACATGGGGACCCTTGGAGACCCCCCCTCCAAGGGCAGAACAGTTGCCCATGGTGCCTGTGACCCACCAGACAGTGATGGCCCTCCCTGAGGAGAACCAGCGAGAGGACGCCCTCATCAAGCTCAACAAAGCAGCCCTGGATCTGTGCCAGAAGCAGAAGCCATTGCAGGGCGACCTTCTGCACCAGACGTGGTAGGACCCCCAGCAGGACACCTCCTACCCTCTTCCCTTGGCGACTTCTGGCCTGGAGTCCTGGGCAGGGGCCAAGCCACTCCCTGTGGAGCTCAGGTTGCTAAAAGACTCTTAGAGCAAGGCCAGTAGATGGTGTAGAGATTCCATCGCTAGACTCCCACATGGCTGACCGCGGTTCGAGTCCAGGACCCCGTGGCTTGAAATCACACAGGTTCCATGTGTGTACATGCCCAAAATCCTCAGAGGAGGATGGAGGAGAAGGGATTGTGGTGTGGCCCACCCCCTGGGAGGTAATTTCTCAATTTCCTTCTCACTGTCTCTGTCTCTCTTTCTCTAGCAAGAGCACATGCCCTAGGGAAAAACAAAAACAGAAACAAAAACACCTCTATAAACTTTTTTTAAAAAGACACTGGTTGCACCGAGCATGGCCTGCACTCCAGCCTGTGGGGTCAGCCCCTGCTGGCTGCTCCCTGGGGAGCAATCACAGCCAGGGGTCTACCTTGCCTGCCTTCTTCCTCCTCTTTCCTTGTTCCTTCTCAGTGAGCAAAGGAATGAAGAAAAGGAGGAGCCAGAGGGCAGTGAGAAGAGGAGCTGGTTTCATTAAAAGCTTCACTTCTCTGTGGTCAGCCTTCCCACTTCCTATTTAGAAATTGCTAGGATAGGGGCCGGCAGGTGGTGTGGTGGTTAAAGGAGCTGGATTCCCACATGGCCGACTGCGGTTCGAGTCCCAGACCTGGCAGCTTGCTTTCTCACTTTCTCTCTCTGTCTCTCTCTGGTCAAGTTGAAGTAAACAAACAAACAAATTTATTTACTTATTTATTTAAATAAAATAATTATTTTAAGAAAAAAAAGAAATTGCTTGTATAGGCTTGGGGGGCCTTTTGCAAGTCCCCTCAGAACACAGCCCAAGGAACCTAACACAGGAAATCTTGGGCAAGGTTCAGCCCCACCAGTGGGGCTAGGCCCAAGGCTAGCCATGGCTTCAAGCTGGAATTTAGACATTGAAGTAGGCTTGAACTTATGGCAGCCTAGCCTTAGTCCTGGGCCCCTTTTCCTTGGTTACCACCTGAGGGTGGCAACTCCCATGTGAGCACTCACTGGTGAGAACGTAGGGTGCTCTGGAGTCATGGTGTTTCCATGGCAGTTCCTGGCACCAGGGACTTTGAAGGGAAGGACCCTCTGCAGGTTCAAGGGCAAATGAGGAGTGCCGGCCTTTCTCCGTCTGTCCTGTCCTGCAGTTTGCAGCTGTGGCGAGACATGATTGACAGCCTGGTGAGCCATTCCCTGTGGCTGAGGGCTCTGCTGGGCCTACCGGAGAAGGAGACCATCTATTTGGATGTGCCAGAAGAGCAAGGTTGGACCCGTGCAGCCATGCCTCTGCTCACCCCTCACCCCTCTGCCCTGATGGCCATTTATGTCCTGTGGTGGACGCCCTGCTAGGCTGGGCCACCTTCTGCCTGCTGCCAGGATGTGGGGCCCCGATGCCACCTGAGCAATTGCCTTCATTTAGTCCCCTTGCGTGGCTGGTAGAACCCTGGAGAAGTTAGTCTGTGGCCATTCCTGGGGGGGTGGTGCACCTGGGATGTAGAACCAGGTCTCAGAACCCCTACCCCACAGTCCTGATCCACGGGGTGACATGTCTAAGTGAGGGGCTCAAGGAAAGGCCTGTCCTCCTCAGGGCTGTCCTCTGCTCCCAGCCGTGCGGATTGTCCCAAAGCAGCTCGGGGCACTGATAGGGAGCAAGGCCTGTCACTTGCCTGTGGCATCGGCTGGGCCCCCGGGTTCCATTGTCTTCCACACACTTCCCGTAGATCACAAGTCAATTCCCATCGTGGAAGTGAAGGCAACCCCTGGGAAAGTCGGGAAGGAGGAGCGCAGAGCGGCAGGCCAAGATAAGAAGCAACAGGGAGCCAAAGACAAGGAGGACAAGAAAGGAGCCAAGCTGCCGGGCAGAGAGGCAAGCCCTGGTCTGGGCCCTGGCCGCGCTCCCCGGGAGGGCTGGAGAACACCCTGGACCTGCACTGGGAGTTCTGAGGCTGTGCCTGTCTCCGTCTTTCCAGCAGGACCGTGCCAACAGCAAGAAGCACAAGGTGAAGGATGACAAGAAAGTGACGAAATCTTCAAGTCGGGATAGGCTTTCCAACGAGGATCCTATGCCCGACAACACCGCCCCGTCTCAGGAGCCAATAGACCCCCTGGTCATGGAGAAATACATCCAGAGGCTGCACACGGAGGTAGGCCAGCCCGCCCTTGCCCACGCCGCTGACCCGACAAACACGAAGCGCCTTCTCCATCAGCACTGGAAGCCACGCTGCCTCGGGCATCAGTCATCAATTAGCCCTTTTTTTTTTTTTAAATGGTACGAATAGTTTTACCGTGTTTTTTTTTTTGTTACCTAACATTCATTCCCTGAGCATCATCACAACGTACTAAATGTAATTTCCCATCTAGAATAGACTGCATAGTGACTTAATCAAGCATGTTATCATCAATAATATTCCATTTCTACTTTCACACTTATGTATATATATATATGTTTTCTTTTCTCTTCCTCTCTTTTTTCCCCTATGTTTGTCCCTCTGCCCTTTCCCACTCTCCAGTTGTCTTCCAGAAGAGTTATTGAAAGGAATAGAGCGATGCAGAAGGTCGCTGTGGGCACTGTTTGGGAACCAGACCCCAGGGGAACGGAGAGGAAGGAAGTCCTTCTTTTCCAGCGCGTCCACCTCTCTGTTAGCTGCACCCCGGCAGACATGTTCCTTGGGAGAACACCATGTAGGGTGTGCTTCTGTCCACTGTGAAAGTTTTGAAATGCCAGACTTTATCAGGATCTCTTTTTTTTTTTTTTCTTTTTAAGAGTTATTATTATTTTTTTTTATGGGACCAGCAGATGGTGTAATGGCTATATCAGTGGACTCCCATGTAGTCAACTGTGGTTCGAGTCCTGGACCTGTTGGCTTAAACTCACACCGGGTGCATGTGCATGCATGCCAATGATCTCAAGACGAGAATGGAGAAGAGATTGTGGCATAGCTATCCCCCGGTAGGGTGATTTCTCACTTTCTGTCTCTCTGTCTCTCTGTGTCTTTCTGGTGAGCACATGTGCTCTATAGCAAAAACCGCTCTAAAAAAAAGATTAATTTTAATTTTTAAAAATTTTTTTGGAGAGTTTTGTTTGTTTTTTGCTATAGGGTACATGCGTTTAAACCACCGGATCTGGGACTCGAACCGCAGTCGACTACATGGGAGTCCAATGATATAGCCATTATGCTAACTGCTGGTCCCAAGATTTATTTAATTTTACTTAATATTATTATTTTTTAATTTGACCAGAGAAAGACAGAGAGAGTAAGAAATGGAAAGTGAGAAAGCAAGTCATCAGGTCTGGAACTTGAACCACAGTTGGCCATGTGGGAGTCCAGCACCTTAACCACTACACCACCTGCTGGTCTCTTCTTAAGTAGCAGGTCCTTAGAGATTCACCCAGGTTTGCTCTGTTTGTTACTGTTGTCTGTTTTGGAGGGGAGATGCACTAAGCCATGTTCAGTATGCCCATGTGTCTAATGGGGACACTTCCTCTTCCTCTGATGTGGACAGCTGGGGAACTGGGATTACACTGTGCACCGTGGTAATATGTTGGATCTCATCTGATCAGAAGTTCCACTTTCTAACAGGCCTGGCATGCACACACATGCCCAGATCCTGACAGGATGGAGAGTCGGAGGAAAAAGGATGGCAGTGTAATCGGGCCCCATTGCTGGGGGTGCTCCCTCCCTTCCTTCCCTTTCTCTCATCCTTTCACACGCACACATGCTCTGTCATTAAAAGAAGTTCCATTTTCTGATGGTCACACACGGAGGTAGGCCAGCCCGCCCTTGCCCACGCCGCTGACCCGACAAACACGAAGCGCCTTCTCCATCAGCACTGGAAGCCACGCTGCCTCAGGCAGGGCCTTCTGGCCAGTGAGGCAGACCTCCAGAATAAGGAGCACCCAGCGCGCAGGGCGATGAGCACTGTGGGGAAGAGGAAGACCAGGGTCAGGGGGGGATGGGGAAGGCTGGGCCAGTTGCAGCAAGGGCCACACTGAGTAGGTGACATCCAACAAAGACTTGCCGGGGGTGAAGGGTGGCAGGTTGACATCTGGGGGGGAATGCCCAGGCAGGGGGAGCAACCAGTGCAGAGGAGAGAGTGGGCCCAGGTGGCTGGGAAGGGCTGGTCCTTCCCATGTTTGAGCCACAGGCTCAATGTGAGCACTCGGGGTTTGCCTCCCAGTGCCTGAGCGGGCGGGCGGGGTTGGAATAGAGTGATGCAGAAGGTCGCTGTGGGCACTGTTTGGAAACCAGACCCCAGGGGAACGGAGAGGAAGGAAGTCCTTCTTTTCCAGCGTGTCCACCTCTCTGTTAGCTGCACCCCGGCAGACATGTTCCTTGGGAGAACACCATGTAGGGTGTGCTTCTGTCCACTGTGAAAGTTTTGAAATGCCAGACTTTATCAGGATCTCTTTTTTTTTT